AGAGCGCGAAGAGCACGGTCAAACACCTGCCGTGTTCTTGTTATACGACACTGATCCATCAAGAACTGAGAGTAATCAAGCCAAATTCGTGGCATCTGGAATACAAGGAACAAATTCTATATTTTGTTTGTCAGGAATGTCCTATGACCTCTACCAACCTTATGCAAGTCCAGAATGCATTTCTCAGGTAGGCCACCATTGGTCATCATTTCACATTCTGAAAGTTTTATTTTTGGCAGAGGTGAGCAGCAGAAAATATAAACAAGAGTCCAGTTTCTTACCTTAAGACCACAAGATCCCCTAAATTAAACATATCTCAAAGTGGAGTAGGGGGTAAAAAAACAACAACTGATTCGTAACTTACCAATATCACGACCTTGAGCTTTAGGAAAATTCCATTACAACAGTACAGTGTTTTTATTTCCTGATAGTTCCTCTACAGTTCGGTGCAGAATTAAATTCAAATCCCAATAAAAAACTAATGCTGAGCCAAAAGCTTCGTCCAAATGACAAGTATCAGTGAAGTGCTTCTTAAACTGATAATTCAACGTGATGTTATCCCTGTCCCAAGCCAAAGCTACAAAGGCATTAGATCACACAATAAACAAAAATGAGTGGCCCGCTTCAGCCCCAGGAAGTGAAACCATGACAACCAAAGTAAGTTGAAATTCAATGAGGTATTCTTCACAATTACTTGTAAGCCTGAATGGATGTACTCACCTTAAATTCCGAGGAGACAAACTTAATGAAATTCGCTACCAACAACAAAACAAGTATAAATTTTAATATGGGTTATGATAATAAAACAATTGAAGTAATAACAACTAAATTACACGGTTTACAAAATGATAGTAACTGGAAAAAGCACGCTGAACATATTATACCCACACTAAGTTTAGCATGCTTTGCCATGAGAACAGTTGCACAACTGTTGAAAACAGATATTTTGAAATTAATTTTCTTTGCTTTCTTCCATTACATCATGTCTTATGGAGAACTTCAACAGAGAGCACAAGAGTATTTATCATCCAAAATAAAATGCTAGAATAATGGCAGCCAGTAAGGGAATTGTATTTTACAGAGAACTATTTATGAAATTTAATATACTCCCCACTGCAAGTAAATTCCTACTCTCATTACAGTCTTTCATTGTGAACCACACGAAGAAAAGTATTTAAGCCAGCATTTAAAGATTATATTTTATCTCACTCCTATTCCATAGAAGAATTTATTTATATTCAGAATTATTAAATACTGTATATATTTATGTAAATAGCTGTAATAAGTATGCAATTATAATTTTGTGTTGGTATTTTATTGTACAAAGTCAACATATTCTTGGCTTGTACTATAAAGGAAATATGGAATGCACATAAATTCTAATGATAACATTTTATTACATTTGCACAAGGTATATAAATATATGATTTTATCTCTCTCCAAAATTATAATTTGGGATTTTATGCAAAGCAGTAGTTAAAATTGTCAAATATGAAAAAAATTAAATCTTGTGAAGTGTTCCCCAGCAGCTACACGAAAACCCAATCAGCCAAATGCAGGTCTTCAAACCTTATGACAATGACCTTCTGTTTGAACATGCGTACTTTTCACACATCTTTAATGTTGATAACAGCATGTGAAACTAACCTTATGCATGAAAACTAAGGACCTCTCAAATGCATTATTTATGTCTTCATATGAAGGGTCCGTAATGCAGCGTCCCTTGGTTTGTCTCCTCCGAAGCCTCAGATAACTGTACCACAATTTGTAGCTGGGGAAAAAAATATTACATTCATGTTATACGATGTAAAAGAAATCTAAGACAAGTAAAAGCTCTGCTAAACTCCTCTATATTGGGGATGAGGAGGGGAGAGAAAAGATAACCCATGAGGCCGACTACCAACAAATTCTCCTTAATAATCCAGTTACTAATTTACAAAACTCAGTAAAAATCAAGAATGAGTTTACTTACTGGAAATAGGCTATTCAATAATCTTCCCCACTCTATAAGAAGTCTGAATCACGAAATAAAGAAGATTCAGCCATCACTAAAAGAGGATGTCCTGTCTGAAATCCTTCAACGCCATAGAAGAATCTACCTCAGTCAAATATTTTCAGCAATTATAAATGCATGCTTTCAGTTAAAATAAAAATACTGTCGTCATAGGTCCAAAACTTGATTCCTAACAAAGTCCAGAGTTTCTACAACACACTGTCATAGTTTCCATTCTGAATGATGGGCATTGATTTCTATTGTATAGAAATATTTCAATTCAGATGTAATGAGGAGGGGAAATTTTCATATCAAAAATAAACATTTAATATATCAGAAACAACAATGATAAATCCATGTGTGAAAGCCATTAGCATGCCTGAATCTAAAAACTATACAATTCTTAACCTGATAACTATTTTCTCTAATTTCTTTTAGAACCAATGTTAATTTATGTTTGTGCTTTACGAAATGAGGCTGAGTGCTTATGTAAGACCTCGTACCTTCCTGGCAATTCTTTTAGGGCTCTTTCAAAGATAACATTAACTGTATGTTTAGGACTCCCCTTCTTGTGCTCAATGTACCGCTGCCAATGTTTAACAGAAAAGGGATTCCGAAGTATTTCTTCTTCATATGGCAGATCATCTTCATTCTAGTGGGAACAAGACAGAGAAATTTATAAAATTAAAATGCTGCTACTTCTTCTTGGACTTATATCCCTCACTACTATTTTTCAAACACCTTCAATATCAAATGTAACCAAATTAATGATAAAATTTCAAAAACTGTAAGTTTAGTATTCGGTGCAAATTCCATAACCACGTTTCGGAAACGTTGGTGGACATCAACACGGCGCAACAACCCAGAAGACAGCAATCTTCAGACACACCGCTGTGAAAATCTCAAATCCTTCACAACCACTCTTTGAAGGTCTGAAGATCAGTTAAATACAACAGTAAAAACTTGTAAGATGACAAACTTTACTTACAAAAACAAGCTCAATATCAACTACTTCTCCGTACGAAGCCATACTACCGTGCGCAGCTAATACCAACCATACGTAATACCAACACACTGAGAATTGCTTACACGGAAAGATCTTATCTGAATGTTATTACAAAGAAATAAAACGCAGCCTACACAGTGACACCAACATTAGACAACCACTATCGATACATTTCTCGCAGGTATTGCTTTTGCTGAAAGTATGCAGAGTGAAATGTTACGTACATGACATGATATTAATAACAGTAATGGATGTGACCAATAAATACCTTCCGAAGTTTCTGCTTTGTTGTGTTCAAGAAAGTAGTAACAGAAAATGTAAAACACGTACGAATGCCATCCTAGTGGTGGACTGTTTTAGTAAATAAGTTGAAAGTATTATTTTCGTCAAGTGTCTAGCTTCTATATTTCACAATTATTATTATCAAATATTTCTTGATAGCAATGAAGTCGGAGCGACTAACTTGAGATGCACATCTGATGTCTCTTATGGTCCGAAGTGTGGCCTGAAGAAGGTTGGCCATTATTTATTATTATTAAAATTATTTTTGAAAACAAATAGTATGTTATCGAATATGATTGTAAGCGCATGTGCATGTGCATGTGGACAATTAGGATCACTGTTTGGTTTGTGGAACACGTTTAAAAAAATGTCTAATATTATGCTTAAGTAATTTTTCATAGAAGATAAAACCAAATTTTTGAACTACACTGAATTGAGCCATATAGCGTTAATTTCATTCTGAAGATTTTATTTTCCTGGAAAAGACTCATTAAGGACTGATAGGATCTTATGAGCTGAGTGACCATAAATTATTGTGGAAGGATGCATCATTTTTTACAGTATAAACCTCATGTAGCAATTTGATACTAATAAGCTGACAGGCCAGCGGCTGTCAAACTTACATTATACATCCTTGGTTCAAAAGCATTAAATGAACTGGCATTAGAAACAGTACCTATAGATTATATGTCAGCAACATTGAAGGATACATCCAAGATTGTTAATATACTCTATTACAAGTAAAATGTGCAATCAAGAGTTCTCTAAAGCCATAATAAAGTGTGTAATTTTATTAAAATATTACTACAAGGCATACAGCAACAAACATCCCAATTTCATCACAGATAACATGTTTAAATGAAGAACATGTCATATAGTTTTCAACAGAAAACTTAGGTTGGATCCTGCTTCATGCTCTTCAGGATTTTTTCCCCTGGAATGGAGGAAAAAGAAGTATGTTGTAAAATAGTTTACACTGCATAGTCAGAAATTATTTTTGCTTTTGATCCTGATACCTAAATGATCTTAACATTCACTTATTGCTCATACAAACCTTTCAGATATTTTAAATCAAGTAAATTAGCTAGTAAATAGCATACTCAAAGTCTGGAGACTGTGAAAGAAATTACTGCACTGCTCAACAGCCAACATTAAAAAGAAAATTATATCATCTTATATTAAATTTAAAACCTATATTCCCTAAATATTGATAATGATATTTCCTCTACATCACCATAATTTTAATTTCCAGAGCCTTGTTTGAAAAAATGGGGTACAGACTATGAAGCTGAAGTAGGAGAGGCCATATAACAAGTATCTCATCTAGCTCTTATACCTTACGTAAAATACTGCAACTTTTACAGATGTTACTTACGGTGAAAATATACGCACACAAGACTTTCCTTTAAGTGTTATTTTATCTCCTTCAATATGCAGCAGGCAATCTTCTCGCAAGCCCACTACAGGAGGAACTCCAGGGATCTTGTGGTACTGCTCAATTCTTTGTTCACGAGTTTCCTGAAATTATTAGACTATAAAGTCATTGTAAATTTCAGTCAGTAAACCTAAGCATCCTATTCTGAGATACTATCCATGGCAGAAATGAAGCTCAGTCCATGATTATGAAGTCAAGCACTGTGCCAAATGAAACTCTTAGACAACTTACAAGGACTCTAAGACCCTGCGCCCACCAGCGGTTTTTCTGCCGCATTGATGGAACACGTTTCAGTAGGAAGCAAGCTCACGTGTGGTAGTTTTACCGTTGCAGTTTTCCTGCTGCAACATGCTTTATTTTTGATGCGGTGTGGCTGGCGGTGGCAATGGAACACAAAGAAACATACCTGTGTGCACCCACGAACGGTGAAACGGCAGCACGGTCGACCAGCGTTTGCCCGATCTTGGTGGCAATAACATGCATAATGGAAAAACAAGCTCAATATCAACTACTTCTCCGTACGAAGCCATACTACCGTGCGCAGCTAATACCAACCATACGTAATACCAACACACTGAGAATTGCTTACACGGAAAGATCTTATCTGAATGTTATTACAAAGAAATAAAACGCAGCCTACACAGTGACACCAACATTAGACAACCACTATCGATACATTTCTCGCAGGTATTGCTTTTGCTGAAAGTATGCAGAGTGAAATGTTACGTACATGACATGATATTAATAACAGTAATGGATGTGACCAATAAATACCTTCCGAAGTTTCTGCTTTGTTGTGTTCAAGAAAGTAGTAACAGAAAATGTAAAACACGTACGAATGCCATCCTAGTGGTGGACTGTTTTAGTAAATAAGTTGAAAGTATTATTTTCGTCAAGTGTCTAGCTTCTATATTTCACAATTATTATTATCAAATATTTCTTGATAGCAATGAAGTCGGAGCGACTAACTTGAGATGCACATCTGATGTCTCTTATGGTCCGAAGTGTGGCCTGAAGAAGGTTGGCCATTATTTATTATTATTAAAATTATTTTTGAAAACAAATAGTATGTTATCGAATATGATTGTAAGCGCATGTGCATGTGCATGTGGACAATTAGGATCACTGTTTGGTTTGTGGAACACGTTTAAAAAAATGTCTAATATTATGCTTAAGTAATTTTTCATAGAAGATAAAACCAAATTTTTGAACTACACTGAATTGAGCCATATAGCGTTAATTTCATTCTGAAGATTTTATTTTCCTGGAAAAGACTCATTAAGGACTGATAGGATCTTATGAGCTGAGTGACCATAAATTATTGTGGAAGGATGCATCATTTTTTACAGTATAAACCTCATGTAGCAATTTGATACTAATAAGCTGACAGGCCAGCGGCTGTCAAACTTACATTATACATCCTTGGTTCAAAAGCATTAAATGAACTGGCATTAGAAACAGTACCTATAGATTATATGTCAGCAACATTGAAGGATACATCCAAGATTGTTAATATACTCTATTACAAGTAAAATGTGCAATCAAGAGTTCTCTAAAGCCATAATAAAGTGTGTAATTTTATTAAAATATTACTACAAGGCATACAGCAACAAACATCCCAATTTCATCACAGATAACATGTTTAAATGAAGAACATGTCATATAGTTTTCAACAGAAAACTTAGGTTGGATCCTGCTTCATGCTCTTCAGGATTTTTTCCCCTGGAATGGAGGAAAAAGAAGTATGTACGTATGTTGTAAAATAGTTTACACTGCATAGTCAGAAATTATTTTTGCTTTTGATCCTGATACCTAAATGATCTTAACATTCACTTATTGCTCATACAAACCTTTCAGATATTTTAAATCAAGTAAATTAGCTAGTAAATAGCATACTCAAAGTCTGGAGACTGTGAAAGAAATTACTGCACTGCTCAACAGCCAACATTAAAAAGAAAATTATATCATCTTATATTAAATTTAAAACCTATATTCCCTAAATATTGATAATGATATTTCCTCTACATCACCATAATTTTAATTTCCAGAGCCTTGTTTGAAAAAATGGGGTACAGACTATGAAGCTGAAGTAGGAGAGGCCATATAACAAGTATCTCATCTAGCTCTTATACCTTACGTAAAATACTGCAACTTTTACAGATGTTACTTACGGTGAAAATATACGCACACAAGACTTTCCTTTAAGTGTTATTTTATCTCCTTCAATATGCAGCAGGCAATCTTCTCGCAAGCCCACTACAGGAGGAACTCCAGGGATCTTGTGGTACTGCTCAATTCTTTGTTCACGAGTTTCCTGAAATTATTAGACTATAAAGTCATTGTAAATTTCAGTCAGTAAACCTAAGCATCCTATTCTGAGATACTATCCATGGCAGAAATGAAGCTCAGTCCATGATTATGAAGTCAAGCACTGTGCCAAATGAAACTCTTAGACAACTTACAAGGACTCTAAGACCCTGCGCCCACCAGCGGTTTTTCTGCCGCATTGATGGAACACGTTTCAGTAGGAAGCAAGCTCACGTGTGGTAGTTTTACCGTTGCAGTTTTCCTGCTGCAACATGCTTTATTTTTGATGCGGTGTGGCTGGCGGTGGCAATGGAACACAAAGAAACATACCTGTGTGCACCCACGAACGGTGAAACGGCAGCACGGTCGACCAGCGTTTGCCCGATCTTGGTGGCAATAACATGCATAATGGAAATTGACACCACAGTTTTTGATAGTGAGAGATGGATTGCCAAAGTGGAGAAGAGGCCGGCACTGTACAATAAAGTCATGCCAGAGTACAGTGACAAGAATAAAGAGAATTGAATATACAACTTTTTCTTCTTACCGTAGAGTTACTGCCTATCTTTCTTCTGGCTGCACAGACCTCATTACATTATTTTGGTAGATAATAGACGGTCCAATCATGAACAACAACTCGTCGAAACTGCTACTACTCAATCTAAAGTATCCGAAGAATTTCTTTGAATACATACGCAGATCTGGCCTTTCAGCAATCTTTGACTCACAAGTGGATGTACCCAAAATTTCTTTCTATACTTTGCCCTTGCTCTTAGCACCAAAGCGCACACAGCGACAGTCTCAACAAAACCCTGCTCCCAGCTCAAAAGAAAACGCAGACAATGTGTTTATTTCACCGTCCGTGTGAACAGGCAACAAGATTATGCGGTTGCAGTAGTTTTATCGCTGCAGCAGAAAGACCGCTCGTGTGCGCTAGCCCTAATACAACAGGGTGACCATCTTATTAATCAGCCCTATACATCATCGGGTGGGGGGGAAACAACAACAGAAAACTGAACAAGTGAGAAACCTCGTGAGTGCTGACACCTCTCTTAAGAATACGAAGATAAGAGAAGTGACAATGAAAATGTAAGCAACATTATAGTCTTGTCATACATTTGGGTTTTATTTATAGTTATCAGAACCAACATAAATTATTCCAACACAAAAGTATTATAAAGATGCACCAAACATGTATATAACCATCTATTTGTTCAATGAAAATTTAGCTATGGCTTCAATTGCACAACGAAGCACTGAAGAAATACAGCGAAGATCAACATGTAAAGATGAGTTGAGAACAGCAACATGTAGCCCTACATGCCATGAGAAATATTTTAAATTCTGACTTGCAGTTGTCACAGAATTATAAAGGAGTTCCATTCATACTCACACCCATGTGGGTTGTAGGACTGGCATCCAAATAGTGGGGGTTGATGTTGAAAGGAATGAGTCCAAGAGCCGTGAAGCTCGGTGGATACACGATAGGCATATCATTTGTAGTACAAATACTGGGAGTTGCTACATTAGTGCCCGCACTGCTTCCAATGTATGGAACACCTTCCTGAAAGTTGAAATGATGTACTGATATGTGTTATTATTCCAATACTGTCTGCTTGGAGTTTGTATCAAAATTAATGTAAAAGCAATCTCACAAGTTACATTATCATAAACAGTACCTCTAATACACTTTTCCTGATTGGATCAATTAGGTTCCAGTCATATAAAGCCTTCAGAAGTTGGAATGTGTTACCACCACCCACATAAAATGTTTCTGCTTGTTTTACAGCTTGAACAGGATCTTTTGATGTGTGGATACTATTTACCTTGTATCCTGGAAATTTAAGTGTACATAAAAGCACAAAGTTAGCCACTACTCACCACAGTTATAAATCTGTTGCTTTGCAAATAAGAAATATAATGCTGCAGTGAGACTTGTTTTTCCTTCATCTCCTTGTGTTCCAATATGAATTTCATGGGTCAGGCATACTACAATATTTTCTATACTACATAGGTAGGTACTTCTTTTAAATTACTGGCTCATAAGCTGGAAATCTGATACTGCATCTTATTTTAATATCAACAAGAAAGAGACACACTGTGTAATGAATTTAGACATTAGGGTTACTAGTTCCAATACAAACCTTTATAACTTGACCATCACGGCTGATCACTGTGTTGTAAATACACTTCAAGAGCAGATTCTCCTAATTGAAATTAAAAATTGCTGTTCAGCACAATATCAAATGACATGTAAGCATCACTTACCCCATTTCTCAAAGACACTTGTAACTTTGTTTGTGTACTCATCATAATCATGTAATGCATAGGGTACAAACAAGATACGTGTAACATGGTACCTACGAAAATGCAACAGTACAAATATTAATATGGACATACGACATTAATTAAAGTGGTGTTTAGGATAGTGGCACCTTTAATTACATGCAATTACAACGAAAACAAATAGCAGAACTTACTTCTTCAAGAAATTATTTATATCATCAGCTGCATGTTGAAGATATTCTGAACCATGCACTACGGAGCTGGACAAAAGTAAAAGACGTCTTTCTTTTGTACCCATGCCACTCTTAAAAGGTGAATCTGGAAATTTAAAAAATGTAGTTTATAACAGCAGCATGACACAGGTACATTACCATTCAAAACTGTACATGAAACATCACAGATGACATTTTTAAAATATAAACCAGAAATTACAAGACCTGAAAGAGTATAATTGAAAAACAATTATAGCAAGGGAAAGAAGACTTAGCAGCAAAAAACACAACACAATCACAGTTCAGAGGACGAATCGGTATGACCACAGATTATGTGAATTGCTGACGAATAGACCGAAATACGTGGCCTACGGTTACATACGCATAATAAACAAAGATGTACTGACAGTATCATAGAAATGAACGAAATTATAACTGAGAAAATACACCAAAGAAATTTTAAAAAATAAAGCCCATTTTGATTTCAAACATCTTTACGTGAAAGAATACCCTTTTGTTGAAATTATGAATTTCAAATACATTTTAAATCAGCAAATCAATTACGTGTAAAACTCGAGATCATTACCAGATGCATAAGCTAAAAGCAGCCATTTATGAGTTTATTTTGTTTGTATACCCATAAAACAATAAAATGTAGATATCAGAATGCCAATACAACAAAATTAAACAACGTGTATATTAGTGAAATATAAAATCAAAATAAGTGTTACAAACACAGTTTATAACGCGTCCTATCAATGTAGCGTGAGAATATTAAGAACACAATAAAATATTTTTTCATGACCGAGTACTAAAATTACTAACGTATGTTGGCGATCCCGCAATAATCAACAAATCACCTGGTGGACATCAGCTGTTTCATTGTTGTCAATGGCTCTTGAAAACCTGCTAAAATAAAGTCTGGGTGAGTGAGCAGAAATTCAGTCTCATCTGCAAACTACCTACACTGAAACTATGTAACGAGTAATATCTTTGATTAACTTATAATTTTATTTAAAAATTGAGTTTCTGATTAAATACCAGATACTTTCATTTGCTTCATGTTAAATGAAACTTCTTGATGTTAATTTACCATTACGAGGAATTAACACAATGTGGAGCGATACAATACAATTATATGAATTTTAACAGTAACTTTATCAGCAGTTTCTTTTTGTATAGTATTAATTTACATTCCATGGATCCTTCATAGGCCCGAGCCAAGAATGCAATACATGTCATAGCACAAATACAATACTTGCTTCCAGTACAATACAAATCACACAGTTATGACTGTCATTTACAGCCAGCTACAGTATTACCACAAAAATAATTACACAAGAAAGCATAGCCATTGTTGCTTCATGAATTTATAATAGGTGAGAATTTTTTGCTTGAGGTGAATTCTTTTATGGAGTAGAAGCAATGAGATAGAAGATGCTCTTTAAACTTCTGTATATTGTGATCAGTGTGAAGCTATGTACACATCATGTTCACTGTAATTCCTGTGTAACTTTCTGCATGTTCTGAATTCTTTTCCAGTAACAACACGTGTATAATATGGACTCTGAGGAGGAGAGTTCGGACGGTTCTCACTTCTCAGATGATACAGTGCATGAAACAAACAGTAATTGGTATTACCTCCCAGATTCCATTCTTCTACATATATTTCAATATCTCTCTGCAAGAGAGCTGCTAGATGTTGGACTGACATGCAGATCCTGGTTACGTGTTAGTTATGACGAGTTTCTGTGGAAAGATCTGTTTTACTATAATTTCAAAATTGATCCATCTATAAAGATTGCTCCAGGTAAGTAATGTTAGAGCGCGAAGAGCACGGTCAAACACCTGCCGTGTTCTTGTTATACGACACTGATCCATCAAGAACTGAGAGTAATCAAGCCAAATTCGTGGCATCTGGAATACAAGGAACAAATTCTATATTTTGTTTGTCAGGAATGTCCTATGACCTCTACCAACCTTATGCAAGTCCAGAATGCATTTCTCAGGTAGGCCACCATTGGTCATCATTTCACATTCTGAAAGTTTTATTTTTGGCAGAGGTGAGCAGCAGAAAATATAAACAAGAGTCCAGTTTCTTACCTTAAGACCACAAGATCCCCTAAATTAAACATATCTCAAAGTGGAGTAGGGGGTAAAAAAACAACAACTGATTCGTAACTTACCAATATCACGACCTTGAGCTTTAGGAAAATTCCATTACAACAGTACAGTGTTTTTATTTCCTGATAGTTCCTCTACAGTTCGGTGCAGAATTAAATTCAAATCCCAATAAAAAACTAATGCTGAGCCAAAAGCTTCGTCCAAATGACAAGTATCAGTGAAGTGCTTCTTAAACTGATAATTCAACGTGATGTTATCCCTGTCCCAAGCCAAAGCTACAAAGGCATTAGATCACACAATAAACAAAAATGAGTGGCCCACTTCAGCCCCAGGAAGTGAAACCATGACAACCAAAGTAAGTTGAAATTCAATGAGGTATTCTTCACAATTACTTGTAAGCCTGAATGGATGTACTCACCTTAAATTCCGAGGAGACAAACTTAATGAAATTCGCTACCAACAACAAAACAAGTATAAATTTTAATATGGGTTATGATAATAAAACAATTGAAGTAATAACAACTAAATTACACGGTTTACAAAATGATAGTAACTGGAAAAAGCACGCTGAACATATTATACCCACACTAAGTTTAGCATGCTTTGCCATGAGAACAGTTGCACAACTGTTGAAAACAGATATTTTGAAATTAATTTTCTTTGCTTTCTTCCATTACATCATGTCTTATGGAGAACTTCAACAGAGAGCACAAGAGTATTTATCATCCAAAATAAAATGCTAGAATAATGGCAGCCAGTAAGGGAATTGTATTTTACAGAGAACTATTTATGAAATTTAATATACTCCCCACTGCAAGTAAATTCCTACTCTCATTACAGTCTTTCATTGTGAACCACACGAAGAAAAGTATTTAAGCCAGCATTTAAAGATTATATTTTATCTCACTCCTATTCCATAGAAGAATTTATTTATATTCAGAATTATTAAATACTGTATATATTTATGTAAATAGCTGTAATAAGTATGCAATTATAATTTTGTGTTGGTATTTTATTGTACAAAGTCAACATATTCTTGGCTTGTACTATAAAGGAAATATGGAATGCACATAAATTCTAATGATAACATTTTATTACATTTGCACAAGGTATATAAATATATGATTTTATCTCTCTCCAAAATTATAATTTGGGATTTTATGCAAAGCAGTAGTTAAAATTGTCAAATATGAAAAAAATTAAATCTTGTGAAGTGTTCCCCAGCAGCTACACGAAAACCCAATCAGCCAAATGCAGGTCTTCAAACCTTATGACAATGACCTTCTGTTTGAACATGCGTACTTTTCACACATCTTTAATGTTGATAACAGCATGTGAAACTAACCTTATGCATGAAAACTAAGGACCTCTCAAATGCATTATTTATGTCTTCATATGAAGGGTCCGTAATGCAGCGTCCCTTGGTTTGTCTCCTCCGAAGCCTCAGATAACTGTACCACAATTTGTAGCTGGGGAAAAAAATATTACATTCATGTTATACGATGTAAAAGAAATCTAAGACAAGTAAAAGCTCTGCTAAACTCCTCTATATTGGGGATGAGGAGGGGAGAGAAAAGATAACCCATGAGGCCGACTACCAACAAATTCTCCTTAATAATCCAGTTACTAATTTACAAAACTCAGTAAAAATCAAGAATGAGTTTACTTACTGGAAATAGGCTATTCAATAATCTTCCCCACTCTATAAGAAGTCTGAATCACGAAATAAAGAAGATTCAGCCATCACTAAAAGAGGATGTCCTGTCTGAAATCCTTCAACGCCATAGAAGAATCTACCTCAGTCAAATATTTTCAGCAATTATAAATGCATGCTTTCAGTTAAAATAAAAATACTGTCGTCATAGGTCCAAAACTTGATTCCTAACAAAGTCCAGAGTTTCTACAACACACTGTCATAGTTTCCATTCTGAATGATGGGCATTGATTTCTATTGTATAGAAATATTTCAATTCAGATGTAATGAGGAGGGGAAATTTTCATATCAAAAATAAACATTTAATATATCAGAAACAACAATGATAAATCCATGTGTGAAAGCCATTAGCATGCCTGAATCTAAAAACTATACAATTCTTAACCTGATAACTATTTTCTCTAATTTCTTTTAGAACCAATGTTAATTTATGTTTGTGCTTTACGAAATGAGGCTGAGTGCTTATGTAAGACCTCGTACCTTCCTGGCAATTCTTTTAGGGCTCTTTCAAAGATAACATTAACTGTATGTTTAGGACTCCCCTTCTTGTGCTCAATGTACCGCTGCCAATGTTTAACAGAAAAGGGATTCCGAAGTATTTCTTCTTCATATGGCAGATCATCTTCATTCTAGTGGGAACAAGACAGAGAAATTTATAAAATTAAAATGCTGCTACTTCTTCTTGGACTTATATCCCTCACTACTATTTTTCAAACACCTTCAATATCAAATGTAACCAAATTAATGATAAAATTTCAAAAACTGTAAGTTTAGTATTCGGTGCAAATTCCATAACCACGTTTCGGAAACGTTGGTGGACATCAACACGGCGCAACAACCCAGAAGACAGCAATCTTCAGACACACCGCTGTGAAAATCTCAAATCCTTCACAACCACTCTTTGAAGGTCTGAAGATCAGTTAAATACAACAGTAAAAACTTGTAAGATGACAAACTTTACTTACAAAAACAAGCTCAATATCAACTACTTCTCCGTACGAAGCCATACTACCGTGCGCAGCTAATACCAACCATACGTAATACCAACACACTGAGAATTGCTTACACGGAAAGATCTTATCTGAATGTTATTACAAAGAAATAAAACGCAGCCTACACAGTGACACCAACATTAGACAACCACTATCGATACATTTCTCGCAGGTATTGCTTTTGCTGAAAGTATGCAGAGTGAAATGTTACGTACATGACATGATATTAATAACAGTAATGGATGTGACCAATAAATACCTTCCGAAGTTTCTGCTTTGTTGTGTTCAAGAAAGTAGTAACAGAAAATGTAAAACACGTACGAATGCCATCCTAGTGGTGGACTGTTTTAGTAAATAAGTTGAAAGTATTATTTTCGTCAAGTGTCTAGCTTCTATATTTCACAATTATTATTATCAAATATTTCTTGATAGCAATGAAGTCGGAGCGACTAACTTGAGATGCACATCTGATGTCTCTTATGGTCCGAAGTGTGGCCTGAAGAAGGTTGGCCATTATTTATTATTATTAAAATTATTTTTGAAAACAAATAGTATGTTATCGAATATGATTGTAAGCGCATGTGCATGTGCATGTGGACAATTAGGATCACTGTTTGGTTTGTGGAACACGTTTAAAAAAATGTCTAATATTATGCTTAAGTAATTTTTCATAGAAGATAAAACCAAATTTTTGAACTACACTGAATTGAGCCATATAGCGTTAATTTCATTCTGAAGATTTTATTTTCCTGGAAAAGACTCATTAAGGACTGATAGGATCTTATGAGCTGAGTGACCATAAATTATTGTGGAAGGATGCATCATTTTTTACAGTATAAACCTCATGTAGCAATTTGATACTAATAAGCTGACAGGCCAGCGGCTGTCAAACTTACATTATACATCCTTGGTTCAAAAGCATTAAATGAACTGGCATTAGAAACAGTACCTATAGATTATATGTCAGCAACATTGAAGGATACATCCAAGATTGTTAATATACTCTATTACAAGTAAAATGTGCAATCAAGAGTTCTCTAAAGCCATAATAAAGTGTGTAATTTTATTAAAATATTACTACAAGGCATACAGCAACAAACATCCCAATTTCATCACAGATAACATGTTTAAATGAAGAACATGTCATATAGTTTTCAACAGAAAACTTAGGTTGGATCCTGCTTCATGCTCTTCAGGATTTTTTCCCCTGGAATGGAGGAAAAAGAAGTATGTACGTATGTTGTAAAATAGTTTACACTGCATAGTCAGAAATTATTTTTGCTTTTGATCCTGATACCTAAATGATCTTAACATTCACTTATTGCTCATACAAACCTTTCAGATATTTTAAATCAAGTAAATTAGCTAGTAAATAGCATACTCAAAGTCTGGAGACTGTGAAAGAAATTACTGCACTGCTCAACAGCCAACATTAAAAAGAAAATTATATCATCTTATATTAAATTTAAAACCTATATTCCCTAAATATTGATAATGATATTTCCTCTACATCACCATAATTTTAATTTCCAGAGCCTTGTTTGAAAAAATGGGGTACAGACTATGAAGCTGAAGTAGGAGAGGCCATATAACAAGTATCTCATCTAGCTCTTATACCTTACGTAAAATACTGCAACTTTTACAGATGTTACTTACGGTGAAAATATACGCACACAAGACTTTCCTTTAAGTGTTATTTTATCTCCTTCAATATGCAGCAGGCAATCTTCTCGCAAGCCCACTACAGGAGGAACTCCAGGGATCTTGTGGTACTGCTCAATTCTTTGTTCACGAGTTTCCTGAAATTATTAGACTATAAAGTCATTGTAAATTTCAGTCAGTAAACCTAAGCATCCTATTCTGAGATACTATCCATGGCAGAAATGAAGCTCAGTCCATGATTATGAAGTCAAGCACTGTGCCAAATGAAACTCTTAGACAACTTACAAGGACTCTAAGACCCTGCGCCCACCAGCGGTTTTTCTGCCGCATTGATGGAACACGTTTCAGTAGGAAGCAAGCTCACGTGTGGTAGTTTTACCGTTGCAGTTTTCCTGCTGCAACATGCTTTATTTTTGATGCGGTGTGGCTGGCGGTGGCAATGGAACACAAAGAAACATACCTGTGTGCACCCACGAACGGTGAAACGGCAGCACGGTCGACCAGCGTTTGCCCGATCTTGGTGGCAATAACATGCATAATGGAAATTGACACCACAGTTTTTGATAGTGAGAGATGGATTGCCAAAGTGGAGAAGAGGCCGGCACTGTACAATAAAGTCATGCCAGAGTACAGTGACAAGAATAAAGAGAATTGAATATACAACTTTTTCTTCTTACCGTAGAGTTACTGCCTATCTTTCTTCTGGCTGCACAGACCTCATTACATTATTTTGGTAGATAATAGACGGTCCAATCATGAACAACAACTCGTCGAAACTGCTACTACTCAATCTAAAGTATCCGAAGAATTTCTTTGAATACATACGCAGATCTGGCCTTTCAGCAATCTTTGGTCATCAAGTGGATGTACCCAAAATTTCTTTCTATACTTTGCCCTTGCTCTTAGCACCAAAGCGCACACAGCGACAGTCTCAACAAAACCCTGCTCCCAGCTCAAAAGAAAACGCAGACAATGTGTTTATTTCACCGTCCGTGTGAACAGGCAACAAGATTATGCAGTTGCAGTAGTTTTATCGCTGCAGCAGAAAGACCGCTCGTGTGCGCTAGCCCTAATACAACAGGGTGACCATCTTATTAATCAGCCCTATACATCATCGGGTGGGGGGGAAACAACAACAGAAAACTGAACAAGTGAGAAACCTCGTGAGTGCTGACACCTCTCTTAAGAATACGAAGATAAGAGAAGTGACAATGAAAATGTAAGCAACATTATAGTCTTGTCATACATTTGGGTTTTATTTATAGTTATCAGAACCAACATAAATTATTCCAACACAAAAGTATTATAAAGATGCACCAAACATGTATATAACCATCTATTTGTTCAATGAAAATTTAGCTATGGCTTCAATTGCACAACGAAGCACTGAAGAAATACAGCGAAGATCAACATGTAAAGATGAGTTGAGAACAGCAACATGTAGCCCTACATGCCATGAGAAATATTTTAAATTCTGACTTGCAGTTGTCACAGAATTATAAAGGAGTTCCATTCATACTCACACCCATGTGGGTTGTAGGACTGGCATCCAAATAGTGGGGGTTGATGTTGAAAGGAATGAGTCCAAGAGCCGTGAAGCTCGGTGGATACACGATAGGCATATCATTTGTAGTACAAATACTGGGAGTTGCTACATTAGTGCCCGCACTGCTTCCAATGTATGGAACACCTTCCTGAAAGTTGAAATGATGTACTGATATGTGTTATTATTCCAATACTGTCTGCTTGGAGTTTGTATCAAAATTAATGTAAAAGCAATCTCACAAGTTACATTATCATAAACAGTACCTCTAATACACTTTTCCTGATTGGATCAATTAGGTTCCAGTCATATAAAGCCTTCAGAAGTTGGAATGTGTTACCACCACCCACATAAAATGTTTCTGCTTGTTTTACAGCTTGAACAGGATCTTTTGATGTGTGGATACTATTTACCTTGTATCCTGGAAATTTAAGTGTACATAAAAGCACAAAGTTAGCCACTACTCACCACAGTTATAAATCTGTTGCTTTGCAAATAAGAAATATAATGCTGCAGTGAGACTTGTTTTTCCTTCATCTCCTTGTGTTCCAATATGAATTTCATGGGTCAGGCATACTACAATATTTTCTATACTACATAGGTAGGTACTTCTTTTAAATTACTGGCTCATAAGCTGGAAATCTGATACTGCATCTTATTTTAATATCAACAAGAAAGAGACACACTGTGTAATGAATTTAGACATTAGGGTTACTAGTTCCAATACAAACCTTTATAACTTGACCATCACGGCTGATCACTGTGTTGTAAATACACTTCAAGAGCAGATTCTCCTAATTGAAATTAAAAATTGCTGTTCAGCACAATATCAAATGACATGTAAGCATCACTTACCCCATTTCTCAAAGACACTTGTAACTTTGTTTGTGTACTCATCATAATCATGTAATGCATAGGGTACAAACAAGATACGTGTAACATGGTACCTACGAAAATGCAACAGTACAAATATTAATATGGACATACGACATTAATTAAAGTGGTGTTTAGGATAGTGGCACCTTTAATTACATGCAATTACAACGAAAACAAATAGCAGAACTTACTTCTTCAAGAAATTATTTATATCATCAGCTGCATGTTGAAGATATTCTGAACCATGCACTACGGAGCTGGACAAAAGTAAAAGACGTCTTTCTTTTGTACCCATGCCACTCTTAAAAGGTGAATCTGGAAATTTAAAAAATGTAGTTTATAACAGCAGCATGACACAGGTACATTACCATTCAAAACTGTACATGAAACATCACAGATGACATTTTTAAAATATAAACCAGAAATTACAAGACCTGAAAGAGTATAATTGAAAAACAATTATAGCAAGGGAAAGAAGACTTAGCAGCAAAAAACACAACACAATCACAGTTCAGAGGACGAATCGGTATGACCACAGATTATGTGAATTGCTGACGAATAGACCGAAATACGTGGCCTACGGTTACATACGCATAATAAACAAAGATGTACTGACAGTATCATAGAAATGAACGAAATTATAACTGAGAAAATACACCAAAGAAATTTTAAAAAATAAAGCCCATTTTGATTTCAAACATCTTTACGTGAAAGAATACCCTTTTGTTGAAATTATGAATTTCAAATACATTTTAAATCAGCAAATCAATTACGTGTAAAACTCGAGATCATTACCAGATGCATAAGCTAAAAGCAGCCATTTATGAGTTTATTTTGTTTGTATACCCATAAAACAATAAAATGTAGATATCAGAATGCCAATACAACAAAATTAAACAACGTGTATATTAGTGAAATATAAAATCAAAATAAGTGTTACAAACACAGTTTATAACGCGTCCTATCAATGTAGCGTGAGAATATTAAGAACACAATAAAATATTTTTTCATGACCGAGTACTAAAATTACTAACGTATGTTGGCGATCCCGCAATAATCAACAAATCACCTGGTGGACATCAGCTGTTTCATTGTTGTCAATGGCTCTTGAAAACCTGCTAAAATAAAGTCTGGGTGAGTGAGCAGAAATTCAGTCTCATCTGCAAACTACCTACACTGAAACTATGTAACGAGTAATATCTTTGATTAACTTATAATTTTATTTAAAAATTGAGTTTCTGATTAAATACCAGATACTTTCATTTGCTTCATGTTAAATGAAACTTCTTGATGTTAATTTACCATTACGAGGAATTAACACAATGTGGAGCGATACAATACAATTATATGAATTTTAACAGTAACTTTATCAGCAGTTTCTTTTTGTATAGTATTAATTTACATTCCATGGATCCTTCATAGGCCCGAGCCAAGAATGCAATACATGTCATAGCACAAATACAATACTTGCTTCCAGTACAATACAAATCACACAGTTATGACTGTCATTTACAGCCAGCTACAGTATTACCACAAAAATAATTACACAAGAAAGCATAGCCATTGTTGCTTCATGAATTTATAATAGGTGAGAATTTTTTGCTTGAGGTGAATTCTTTTATGGAGTAGAAGCAATGAGATAGAAGATGCTCTTTAAACTTCTGTATATTGTGATCAGTGTGAAGCTATGTACACATCATGTTCACTGTAATTCCTGTGTAACTTTCTGCATGTTCTGAATTCTTTTCCAGTAACAACACGTGTATAATATGGACTCTGAGGAGGAGAGTTCGGACGGTTCTCACTTCTCAGATGATACAGTGCATGAAACAAACAGTAATTGGTATTACCTCCCAGATTCCATTCTTCTACATATATTTCAATATCTCTCTGCAAGAGAGCTGCTAGATGTTGGACTGACATGCAGATCCTGGTTACGTGTTAGTTATGACGAGTTTCTGTGGAAAGATCTGTTTTACTATAATTTCAAAATTGATCCATCTATAAAGATTGCTCCAGGTAAGTAATGTTTAAAAAGTGTTTTTGGGGTTTCACTTTATTTACATTAAGTTCTCTACTTCTATAGAGTTTGTCAAGCATAGATTCTGCATTTGATTTTTTAGTCAGGTTGCTTCATACTGTCTCTGGCAGTCCAATCAGGATTGAGTAGAAATTGTACAGAGTCAGTGGGCTGGTCATTCACTACTTCACGACGAAGACACCTTCGAAAACCCACAACAGGGTTGTAGAGCCGAGAAACAACTTCATACTGTGGTGCAAAATCTCGTTCTCTTATTAAGAGTCAAGTTACTGCTCCATTAATATGCAATCATTATATATGTAAATGCTCTCCTGTGGTAAGGACTAAGTATCATAAAGAGGTCATATTCAGGAATTGAATAGTTTTTCAAGGTAGGCTATAGAAACTATCAACCTGTATTAATGGTTTGGTACTGCCAACATGATTTTTTATACATAACAATTCTTTATGGGTCTTTCAGTTTAATTTAATCTGGCCCATGAACAGTGATGTGATAAAAACATAAGTCACTTGTTCATTCCTGCCCCAAATGGATTATGCACCTGTAAAATTTTGAAAATTTAATTTTAAAAGTTTAGCAGTCACATATGAAACTGTGTTTTTGTGAGTCACTCTTTTCCCATGCAGGAACTTTCCTGGTATTGTATTTTACCTGCAGGCAAGACATCATGGTTGGCTGAATACAAGCGGCTTTCTTACCACACGCCTGTCGTCCAGACTGAAGTACTGAAGGAACATTCACATCAGGTTCTTCATGTCAGCTTTGCTCACAATGGAAAGATGTTTGCAACCTGTTCAAAAGATGGATATGTTCTGGTAAAGTTGTGTTGGCATTTCCTTGAGAAAAGAGCCTATGTATAAGAAATATTTTGAAAAGAAAGATGTACATATTCTTAGTTTTCTGTGCTGAGTTTGGTATACTATCCTGCAGATAGCTTCAGCTTTCACACTGTATCCCATTCCTCATTCAGGGATGTGTGATATATAATTTTGTTTGCTATCAGAAGGCTATGACCAAATGTAAAAAGGAGGAATAAGGAATGCATTAACCTCCCTCTCAAATTACATACTCACCAACAGTAGTTCTTTGTCTCAGCAGTTTTCTCATCACTTTGGTTCTTTTTGACATAACATTCTCATAACTGCTTAGCACAATCAAGATTATTTGGAGGGAAGTACTTTGGATTGGTTTGGAACTGTAATAATAACAAGATAGGAATATTACCAATAATATTATAAGAATTAGATGAAGGAATTATTTTTATAAAAGAACAATTACAACAGTTTCTTTAACACATGACAGTTTTTACTTCTTCCCTCACTATAAGAATGGCTTTATAGGCTCAGGGCATGCTCTTGAAAACATAAACAGGCTTGTAGTGTGGCACAAAAGTGAAATGCGTGCTGCTCTGTTCCCATACATATACAGACGCATACAGTCTTGGCAATCTGCAGGTGTGGGACTCCAGCTATCCAGCCAGTATCAAGTATTATCATGACATGAAGACTTTCAGCTGGAAATACACACAATTTTCACAGTTCAATCAATCTGACACACTGCTGTTGGTGTCTGGGGTTCACTTTGGGACACCACATAGCACCTCAGGAGAAATAGCAGTCTTCAGTCTGCAAGGTAAGCATCCCTTTCTTAGTGCAATAGAAAATGTTCAGGAACTAATTACTCAAAGACACATTTTGTAGCAGAGCGAGTATAAACGATGCACGAGTCACTTGCACAGTGGTCTATAACAACGTTCACACGCAAAGAGTGACCATGAAAGCAGACGAGTTGTCACTCCGTAAACCTGTGTGGCCACATGCCATTCAGTTTAATGTCAAATGTTTTAGCAATGGTGTCTCTACTCTAAAGGATTTTACTAAAATTTACTAACAAAACTGAATTCTGGCCCACACATGACACAGATTGCCAATCTACTTCTCTACTTCACACCCAGAGATATGTGCAGACATATGACGATCTCGATGTTCGGTTGGGGCTTCTCTGGTGTGGCCCTTGCCTGGATTGATAGTGAATCAATTGTGTTTTGAAAAGATAATAGTGCACAGTGTGCATGACATCATATTTGACACTACAGCCCACTGGGAGCCTTATCCTGTTAATTACCAACTTTCAAATAAATTTTTAGACAATCGCTAGGACTTTTTGTCATAAGACCTCTACCTACACGAGACAGCACAACACAGAAAAATATGGACATATATTCATGCCTTGAGAATCACACCCATGATCAGTGGTCAATATACCACCTCAGACCATGCAGACACTGTGACTGGCCCATGTGCATATGCACCAGGAGTGTAATCTTACTGAATATGAAATTTATATCAAGACAAAGTATCACACAGCATGAATTACTGCACAGTTTAATGAAACTTAACAAGACTTCAGTTTCCATGAAACATGGAGGCTGCATTTTATTCTTATAGCATAAGTAAATTAAAAGGACCTGTAACAAACATATATTTTGCAGTGTTTCCCAAACTGTATGTCTCAGAACTATGGGGTTCCACCTGATGAGACAAGAGGTTCTGAATGAAAAGTTCAGTGGCAATAGTTTCTTGGAATTTCCCCTCGGAAGTATTCAAGTAACATTTTGTTCCAAAAACCCTTGCAAAAATAGTCTAGTTAAGGTTGTTTCCAATATATTTTGAGCAAAGTGAAGTGCAATTTGAAATGTATATAAATTAAACATTATATCTTTTAAAAATGCATTTTAAATAAGGAACTTTTATTTATTTTCTACTAGTTTTCTTGTCTTAGAACACAATTATAAGTAATAAAAAAGAACTTTCATAAATTATATGGATACAAATTGCATAAATACTAACATGTTCTGTTTGTAACTTTTCAACAGTCTAAGAATATTTTTAATCCTTTTTGGGTAATTGTTTGGGGAACACTGTTGTTACGTGTCATAATAACTGACAAGGGCTCGTATTTTCTTCAGCTGGCTTTAACTTGCAATGCAGAGTAATGAACAAGCCATATGACATCTTTGGAACTTGGTACAGTGATCATCACCTGTTGTCTGGTGATCTCCACTGGCTTGCACATCTTGTCAGCACTTCTATTCTGTGGCTGAATAAAGCATCCCAGGAATCAGAATCAGAACTGGTACCTATAATGGATCAGCTGTACAAGTTCTACAACTGCAATGCCAGTTCTATCCGGGCTGTTATGATTGCCAACTGTTTGGCTCCATCACCACCAGAACTAGATGCTATTCCTAGTGGAGCTGAAGCCCAATCAGGCAAGGGACTGGGCAGCTGTGAACGAGGAAATCCTCCATCCCACAGGGAGATAAATAATCCATCAACATCAGGTTATGTCTTACCAACTTCTTCAAGAGAACCTGCTGCAGCAGAGGATGAAGTAACACCTGAAGTATTCTATGCAGTCTCATCTAGACTTCAGTATGTAATATAAGGACAGGCATCCCTCACTTAGTGTGGCTAATTAGGAACTGAAACATGTAATTTTAAACAAAAGTATATTTTCCTAAGAATATATCACAGGAGACACTTCTGCGAATTAACAGCTTCCCTTAACTCTCCCCAGTGTCACTGAACACTGTGCTCAATGACGCTAGGTATATAATAAGCAAAAATAATTCACACTGCATTACAGTGTATGTACACAACACTGAGCATTTGGGTGGTGTGAACTTTGCCAGTTGTTCAGCGAAAATGCCTCAAATGAAATTCCTTTAAATGGGAAATACGCTGTTCAAAAGTGAGCTAATGGGGTATGCCCATATTATTGAAGATTAATGTTGTTCAAAAGTGAGCTAATGGGGTATGCTGTATCTGTCTTCCTTGGCACATTTTAAGGTAATTATTTTACAGAGGTACAATGCAATTTGAAAAATATTTTGGGAGTAGGATTTGAGGTTTTCACAGTGGTGAGTCTTACGATGGCTGTCTTCTGGGTTGTAATTTTAAGGAAAATGGATTTTGTGAGTGATGTGATATGATTGGGTATGGTTCAGGATTGACTTCTGTTACGTTTACCCAGTGGATTCTATATTCCCAATTGTATATATTATGCAACTGAATTTTGAGATCTATCTGCTGTCATACAGGACCAGTACCACAAGAAACAGTTTCTGGAACTTCGGGTTTTCCATACATTTGGGATTTCTTTCACACATAATCAATTCCAAACAGGGCAGAAAATAAGACCTAAAATTTCTCATTACACCCACTGCTGAACAAATAGTTACATCTGTATGATACATTCATTATAATTGTATTCATGTATGTCTAAGGGTGTAAAGACAGGGCTTCTTAGAAGATGAGAGCAGTTGTTCCTCTGCTCCTCAGTACACTCCAGAATATAAATACAAGAAATTACTACGGAACAAATTTTATTTCTGAGTTTTACCACAATCAGAAAAGCATGTAGGATGGTTCTTAATGTTTGACATAAGAACAGCACTTCTTTACCAGTATGTAATAATTTTCAGGTGCAGCACACTTGAGAGTGCATTCTTAAACTGGCGTCGCTTAGGTGATGGAACAGATTATGCGTGCCCCATTCAATACAATGCTGAATACCGCCAGGTGGAAACACAAGGCAAGGGAGAAAGTCCTCCAGATAGTGTTTCTGAGAACAGTGACAGTGAAGACAACCACAGCCTTGTCCCAGGTATAACAGATACTCGGTATGAAACAAAGAAACTGGGGTCTGCTTCCCAGCAGTGGTGAGGAATGTGTGCTAATTGTGATGCTCACTCTGCCACGTACAGTTTGTCAGAAAATAAAGGGGGGGGGGAAACAATTGACAAGCAAAACAATGTCAGTCAGTTACAAAGATATATTACAAAGTGCATTACATATATGAAACAGTCCTTGTTACACTGTTGTCAAAATTGAAGTGAGGGAAACTGAACTTTAGAAACAAAAGTGTATCATGGTTTGATTCTGAAAAACTCTAGCTGTCACACAAACTAGAATGAAGACTTATTTTATGGATGAAATAATTTTTTGTTATCACTTAGATGATGCTGAGCTTGATGAAGGGAGTTCTGGCGTGTCAGATACGTCGATGGAGACTGAAGAATGTGCAAGTGAAAGTGATGATCTGTCTGAACACGCTGAGAAGTACCTCATATTCACCACAGGCTCTAAGACATACACCCCACATCAAATAGGGTTTAAACGCATCAAGTCCGTGTCTTTCCCTTGTAAGCTGGATCCAGGGCCGTCTCTTCGGGAA